GCAATGCAGTCACGTATGAGCTTTCAGCGCTCGCGGTAATCACGGCAATGTTGTATCTTGAACGCAGTTCCCTGACAACGCGAGTGGGCGTCTCAAGGACACCCCACCTGACCCTCCGATCGTCGGGCGAAGGCCGTGGCAACACACGCTGGTCCGGCACCAACCGTCGGCCCCCCAATGGCCGGGGTTCTTCCTATGACGGCACTCGTGCTTGAGATGCAAGCCGACATTGGTAAGCATACCGTCCACGGACGGGCTTGTGAGTGTACCAAGCTACCTAGACTGGTCAAGCTGGCAACAGAGGAAGCTCTGGAGCTCGCGAAAGCGGGGCCAACCGCAGTACGTACTTTGTACAGGCGCTGTCATGGGCGAGCTTTCCGTGCTCGGATCTCCGACAGTCGCTGGAGTGATGCTGGTATTCCGAATTGAGGCAGCATCGGGCATTCCGCTGTGTGGGAGCACTGGGAGGGTCAGAAGAAGAGAAACGTGGTGAGGGGCAGAAGGAAGAGGGCAGACTGCCGAAGGGTGTCGTCAGAGATGTTTCTCCATAATAACGCCCCTCCCCAGGGCCCCCCATTCTCCAGCTAGACTTAACTCTTGCTCTCCCCCCTCTTCCTCTGTTGCGCCGCATACAAAGTTCTTTGAGCATCAACTGAGTCGTTTTCAAACCAAACAACAAACCCCAAAGAAACAAGAAAACAACCATCAAAATGGTCAAGGCTGGTAAGAAGGCGATCTCCCCCACCCTTTATAGCCCCGCGTGCCCGCCCGAGCTCCCAGATGCTGGGTCACGCTGTCGGAATGGAGGGGTCACGGCCACCCAAGCTGCGCTGGATTGAGCGAGTTTCTCGAGGAGAGGAGCTGTCGCAGCACCCTGATGGGCGCACCTCGCGTGTCTTGCCTTGCCTTCCCCGGAGAGCCGCGTCGATCGAGTGCGTGGCTCGTAGCCAATCCAGACGAGATCCTTCTTCCCCTTGTCGTTGTTGTCGTGCCATCAAGGTCCCGCCCTTCCCAGAAGCAGAAGACGCTGACCCGTTTGCTCCAGTCGCTGTCGTCCGTGGTGACTCCAAGGTCACTGGTACCGTCACCTTCGAGCAGGAGAGCGAGTCTGCCCCTACCCAGGTCTCGTGGGACATCTCCGGCAACGACGCCGATGCCGAGCGCGGCATGCACATCCACACCTTCGGTGACAACACCAACGGCTGCACCTCCGCCGGCCCTCACTGTGAGTCCTCGACCCCCGGCCTACCCCCTTGTCTTGTTTCTCGATCCCTTCAGACAATTGCAAGATGCTGACTGGCGTTCCGCAGTCAACCCCCACAGCAAGAACCACGGCGCGCCCTCGGACGAGGACCGCCACGTTGGTGACCTCGGCAACATCAAGACCGACGCCCAGGGCAACTCCAAGGGTTCCGTTCAGGACTCTTTCATCAAGCTGATTGGCCCCCACAGCGTTATCGGCGTAAGTTCACCCTGCCGTCTTGTCCGATACCCCAGGGTCATGGTACCGGCAAGCGAGGAAGGAATTGCAGCTGACAAGACTAGCGTACCGTCGTTGTCCACGGCGGCACCGACGATCTCGGCAAGGGCGGTCACGCCGAGTCCCTCAAGACTGGTAACGCCGGCCCCCGTCCCGCTTGCGGTGTCATCGGCATCTCCAACTAAGAGTTATGTCTGGCCGTTGCCTGAATAGCTGGGCGGACTTGAGGAGTGCAGGCCTTTCGAGGATTCGGATATGTTCATGGCTCTAAATACCAAATTGAATACGCCCGCACCGCACTTTCTGCCCGTCCAGAGACCGCTTAACCCAAACCTCATGTGTACTTGTGACCTGGTGCCTTGAGTGTCATCACAATACTGTGCTCGATTCCAGTCAAATTACTAGAGAGCTATCTATGACGGGCAGCTCGGAGTTGGCTGGCAACCCACGGTGTCGTTGTTGAAATGCACTGTGAGGGGTAGACATGACGTGACCGCCTTCTCGTCCTTCCACCATCCTTCCTGTCACAGTCGCTGGCATTGTAAACCAATGCAACAGAAACCCAATGTAAACGTTGCAAAAAATGCATCACGGTATCTTCAAGTCTTCCGTCTTGTCTAACGAGGCAAGGCATGTTCGTACAGCTCCACCATGACCCTGGGCTGAAGCTGTGACGCCTCGGCCAGCGGTGACTGGCATCGAGCCCCTCGCTTAAACAGCACCTAACCCCGAACCAGCCAGTAGGACCCCTGCCCGCTGCTGGTCCCCTGGAGCTCCTTCCCCACAGTTGCCCCTTCCCCCAGCCAAAATTGAGGCAAGCTGTTCAAAGTGAACGGCAGGCGCTCGTGTGTGTGGGTGGCCCAGCGCCAGACCGAGATCTCGTGCTCTCGAACCACTTTGAACCTTCGAAATCTCCTTTCTACCAACAACCATTCAAAAGTCGTGTGCCTCAGGGATTGCTTTCATCTTCTTTCAAACTTCATCCTACGTTTCAACATCCATCTCGGTGCTCGTCTTTATCGGTCCCGGTTCCAAGGTACGTGTCTGCCCAGTAGCTACGGTACCTAGCTTCCCCTTCCCGCCGGATCGGATCGTGTAGCTTCGCTTCCCCCCGCCGTGCCTGAGCTTCCTGCAGCTGCCCTATACGCGGTACCTTGCGGATGGCAGGCAATCCTACAGAAATCGCTGTCATTGTATCTTTCGATGAGGAGACGAGCTCGTGGCTCTGACTGCGAAGGCTCGCATTTCCATCATTGCTTTTTCTGCTGTCATTGCCCACCAAACCACCGTCACATTTTCCAGTCCGCTTGACCGCCTCAAGCTTGCGATCTGGACAAATCATATTCTAACGACCACAGGCCTCATAGAAGACCTCCCCCCCCGTATAGCCTTTACAATGTCCAAGACATTTTTCGCGAAGGTCAAGAGCGTGCTCTCAGGCGATACGCTGATCCTGACGAACCCTCAAAACCCCAAGGCCGAGCGAACTTTCTCCCTGGCCTTCGTTGACGCCCCACGTCTGCGCAAGGAGGGCGACGAACCCTACGCCTTCCAAGCCCGCGAATATCTCCGAGAAAACGTCGGCAAGCAGGTCCAATGTACCGTCCTCTACACCGTTCCCTCTGGTCGTGATTTTGGCACCGTCCTGCTGTCAAGAGAGGGCCCATCACTACCCGATGAGGCTGTCAAGGCCGGCTGGCTGAAGGTTAGGGAAGACGCTGGTCGCAAAGAAGAGTCGGAAGAGATTCTCGAACGCCTTGATCTGCTTCGTGGCCTCGAGGGCCAGGCCAGGAGCGAGTCTATCGGTGTCTGGTCTGGCTCTGGCGGCTCGATCCAGGTTCAAAATGACCTTGGCGGCCCTGAGTTCATGAACCAATGGAAGGGCAAGACGGTTGACGGCATCATCGAGCGTGTCCTCAGCGGCGATCGTCTTCTCGTCCGCCTGCTGCTCTCTGACAAGAAGCACGCTCAGGTCATGACGTTGCTTGCTGGTGTGCGCACGCCCGCCACGGAGAGGACAGTACAGTCCACCGGCCAGACGCAGCCGGCGGAGGAGTTTGGCAACGAAGCGAAGGCTTTTGTCGAGGAGCGTATGCTTCAGCGCAAGGTCAAGGTTGACATTGTCGGTGCCAGCTCCCAGGGCCAGCTTGTCGCTACCATCATCCACCCCAACGGTAACAAGAACATTGCCGAGTTCTTGCTGTCAGAAGGTCTTGCTCGCTGCAACGATTTCCACTCGACGATGCTCGGCGAGAAGATGGCCCCGCTGCGCGCGGCCGAGAAGACGGCTCAGGGCAAGAAGATCCGCCTGCACCAGAACCACGTCGCCAAGGAGGGCGGCGCTCAGTCTGACATGACCGTCACCAAGATTGTCGGTGCCGACACTATCATCGTCCGCAGCAAGGAAGGAAAGACGGAGAAGCGCATCAACTTTAGCAGCATCAGGGGCCCCCGCGCTGGCGAGCCGACCGAGGCGCCGTACAGAGACGAGGCTAAGGAGTTCCTGCGCAAGAAGGTCATCGCTAAGCACGTCCGTGTCAGCATTGATGGCCACAAGGCCGCCGCTGATGGCTTCGAGGCTCGCGACGTTGCTACTGTGACGGAGAAGAACCAAAACATTGGTCTGCTCCTGGTCGAGCATGGCTACGCCACGGTCATCCGCCACCGCAAGGACGACACGGATCGCGCTTCCAACTACGACGAGCTTCTTGCGGCCCAAGAGAAGGCCAAGGAGGAGAAGAAGGGCATCTGGTCGGGCAAGGCGCCCAAGATCAAGCAGTACATCGACGTCTCCGAGTCTCTGCAGAAAGCCAAGCTGCAGCTGGCTGGTCTCCAGCGCCAGAAGAAGGTTGCTGGTGTGGTTGACTTTGTCAAGTCTGGTTCCCGCTTCACCATTCTAGTTCCTCGCGAGGGCATCAAGCTTACCCTTGTTCTGGGAGGTGTGCGTGCCCCAAGGGCGCCCCGCAACAACGGAGAAGGCGGTGAGCCCTTTGGTCAAGAGGCGGCGGACCTCGCCAGCCGTCGCGCCAGCCAGCGCGACTGCGAGATCACCATTTACGATCTCGATAAGGTCGGCGGCTTCATTGGTGACCTGTACATCAACCACGAGAGACTTCGCCAAGGTCCTTGTCGAAGAGGGTCTCGCGTCCGTGCACGGCTACTCTGCGGAGAAGTCTGGTAACGCTGGTGAGCTGTTCCCGGCAGAGCAGCGTGCCAAGGAGGCTCGCAAGGGACTCTGGAAGGACTGGGACCCTTCGCAGGACGAGCAGGTCGAGGAGGCCGCACCCGCCGAGTCGCAGGACACGCCCGAGTCGTATGACAACAAGGCCAAGGACTACCGCGATGTTGTGGTCACGGAGATGGACGGCAACGGCAGGCTTAAGATCCAGGAGATTGGCAAGGGCACTGCAGCGTTGACGACGATGATGAACGAGTTCAAGAAGTTCCACATCGACTCGAAGAACGCCAAGCCCCTGGGAGACGCGCCCAAGACGGGCGAGTTCGTCGCGGCCAAGTACTCGGTTGACGGCCAGTGGTACCGCGGACGCGTCCGCTCCAATGACCGGGCCAACAAGGTGGCTGAGGTGCTCTTCATCGACTACGGCAACTCAGAGAAGATTGCGTGGAAGGACCTGCGCCCCCTTGACCAGCCGCAGTTCAGCACGCAGAAGCTCAAGAGCCAGGCCTCTGACGCGTCCCTGTCGTTTGTGCAGCTGCCGACGGCGCCCGAGTACTTCCGCGAGGCGCAGGACTTTATCGCCAATATCACCGGGGGCAAGGAGCTGGTGGCGAGCTTTGACTTTGTCGACACGAAGGAGGGCGTCAGCTACATCACGCTGTACGACTACAACTCGGGCTCCGGCAAGCCGGGCCCCAACGACTCGATCAACAAGGAGGTCCTCGCCGCCGGTGCCGGTCTTGTGCCGACAAAGCTCAAGGCGTGGGAGCGCAGCGGACAGCACGCGTCATACCTGAAGCACCTCAAGGAGGTGGAGTCGCAGGCCAAGCAGGAGAGGCAGGGCATGTGGGAGTACGGCGACATTACGGAGGATTAGAGACAGGTTCGGAGCGGTTGTGGTGGTGTAAGGGGCGGGGCGTCAAAAAACGGCTGGGTGGGTGCATCAAAAAGCAGATGTATGCTGGGAAGGCCATTTTGATTACAAGCGTACGCAGTGACGAAAGCTACGTGAAATGAAATGATAGTGAAGCCCAAAGATAACAGAATCGTGGCGGTCTCAGCGGTCTTGTGGTGTAGTTGTGATAGTGTGAATTTGCGCATGTCCGTGGAGTTGCGCGGTAATAGCACATTTGCGCCTTCAGCCTGCAGGGAGGGGGGCCATGGGTTGTAGTGTGTCGGGGGAGGCCGGCAGCTAGAGCTAGATGGCTAGACCTGCTGGGACCCTCGCTCTCTTTGCGCGACGGACCGGAGAGGCGGTCGCTCCCCATTGACGCGCATCCCGCCTTGAGTGGGGGTTTCCGTCTCCAGATCTCCCTTCAACAGAATTTCACCGTCGGGGGACAACCAATGGAAGTCTTTTCCGGGCACGTGGGCTGGACCTCTGGCAGCCGAGCAATTTTAAGTTGATAAAGAAAAAACCCCCAGCCACCGATTCATCCGGAGGCCAAGAGTGAGAGAGGGGGCGCTTATTTATCCCGTATATTTTCGATTCCAGCAGCGTAGCTCGGTGAGGTGAGGAGGGGCTCTGTGTAGCACTGACCGATTTGGTGAAGAGGTACAATTGTGTTTTTTCCGAGGTTACCTGTACATGTACCTACCCCTCCACCAAGCACTTACCCACCCACTTTGCTGTGACGGCTTAGGTGGGGGCGATGACGACAGGGGCCCTCTTGTATTGGAGAGGTAATTCCACCTCGCTGCGCAGTTTTGCCTGTGTAGCCATGGGCTCTGATTCTTTGCTGAATCATGCAGAGGCAGTAATGTCATGGGAGAGGCGGCGAGGCGAGCCAAGGCCGGCTGGCTCGGAGGGTCGACGGGGGGCGCGCATCGAATTGCCCGGATACAGGCGAGCGCGCGCGACATTTGGGGGATGTGATGGAGGCATGTACCTAAGGTACCTACTAAATGCACGTAGTAGGTAGGTACCTAAGGTAGGTAAGGTGAGGTAGAGAGGTTCTGGCTTTCCACCAGCAGGTCCGCTGTCGGCGGGGCGTCGCCTGGACCCCCCGTGGAAGTGGCCAAACAGAACCCCTCGACGGCCGGAGTGGGTACCCCGACAAAACAGCCGCCATATCGCCCACCCTACCGTATGGCGCGGGGCACCGTCAGAGCCAAGTGGGATGACTGATACCCACCTCACCCAAGCAGTAGTGGAAGGAGAGGGGGGGGGGTAGGTAGTGGGTGGGAGAGGTGACGGGGAAGGCGATCGAAGGTGTGTGACGAAGCTGGTGGGAGGGTTGAATGCGGGACAAATATTTCGCCCGTCTCCCTCTGAGCTGTTCCTCCTTTTTCCCAACAACTCATCACCTTTCCTCCCATCACCATACAAACTCTCCAGCCTGGTGCTGCCTTTACCAAACGTCGACCTCTATCTCAAGTCGCCAAGATACCCCAACACGCACATAACATGTCTTCCTCTCTCGATCAATTGAAGGCCTCCGGCACCGTGAGTTATTACCCCGCCATGCCGCCATCGGCGCATCGACGACCCTGGGGGCTGCCCCGCCGTGGCCGCGTGCTGGCGACGCCTGCGTTGCCTCGAGCTGCGGTGTTTTGAAGCCCTCGCCATTTCGAGGCTTGCGACGGCGGTGCTCTCCCCCTCGGGACGCATGGCACTGTTCCTTGCTGCTTTGGGATGGCTTCCAATTGATGAGCACACGCTGACCGTGATTTTTCCATTGCTTCAGGTTGTCGTCTCCGACTCCGGTAAGCTTGCTCTCCCCTCCCTCGGCTAGTTTGTCTCGAATGTCTGCTAATGAACCTCCCTAGGTGACTTTGCCTGTTAGTCCCTCTTCTTCCCCTTCCCCTTCCCCTCGTGCTCTTCTGGCAAGAGGCAGAAAATCGACTTGACAAGAGGACGCCAAAGCTAACCTTACCTCCCTTTCAGCCATCGGCCAGTACAAGCCCCAGGATGCCACCACCAACCCCTCTCTCATCCTCGCTGCCTCCAAGAAGCCCGAGTACGCCGCTCTGATCGACGAGGCCGTCCAGTACGCCAAGTCTAAGGGCGGTGACGTCGACCACCAGGTCGATGCCGCGCTCGACAGCCTCCTCGTCCAGTTCGGCAAGGAGATCCTCAAGATCATCCCCGGCAAGGTCTCTACCGAGGTTGACGCCCGCTTCTCCTTCGACACCAAGGCCTCCGTCGACAAGGCCCTTCACATCATCGAGGTAAGGCCAGACTCGAGACCAAAGGATCTCGCAGGGGAGGGGCAACACTTGCTAACAGCCACCACAGCTCTACGCCGAGCAGGGTGTTCCCAAGGAGCGCGTCCTCATCAAGATCGCCTCCACCTGGGAGGGCATCAAGGCCGCCGAGATTCTCCAGCGCGACCACGGCATCAACACCAACCTGACCCTCATGTTCTCCCTCGTCCAGGCCATCGCCGCTGCCGAGGCCGGCGCCTTCCTCATCTCCCCCTTCGTCGGCCGCATCCTCGACTGGTTCAAGGCCGCCAAGAAGCAGGAGTACACCAAGGAGACCGACCCCGGTGTCAAGTCAGTCCAGGACA